ATGATTAGACTATTGACTACACACTTGACTTGTGGGGACAGGATATGATTACACACTTGACTTGGGACAGGAAATATGATCAGACTATTGACTACACACTTGACTTGTGGGGACAGGAATATGATTACACACTTGACTTGTGGGGACAGGAATATGATTACACACTTGACTTGTGGAGACAGGAATATGATTAGACTATTGACTACACCCTTGACTTGTGGGGACAGGGATATGATTACACACTTGACTTGTGGGGACAGGAAATATGATCAGACTATTGACTACACACTTGACTTGTGGGGACAGGAATATGATTACACACTTGACTTGTGGAGACAGGAATATGATTAGACTATTGACTACACCCTTGACTGTGGGGACAGGGATATGATTACACACTTGACTTGGGGACAGGAAATATGATCAGACTATTGACTACACACTTGACTTGTGGGGACAGGAATATGATTACACACTTGACTTGTGGAGACAGGAATATGACTATTGATACACCCTTGACTTGTGGGACAGGGATATGATTACTTGACTTTGGGGACAGGAATATGATCAGACTGACTACACACTTGACTTGTGGGACAGGAATATGATCAGACTATTGACTACACACTTGACTTTGGGGACAGAATATGAGACTATTGACTACACACTTGACTTGTGGGGACAGAATGATTAGACTATTGACTACACACTTGACTTGTGGGACAGGAATATGATTAGACTATTGATTGCACATAACAACTGCCAAAATAGTGAAAACACTTCTCCAAGGAACCGAACGGTATGGTTCACCACGTCGCTTTTCGTGTCCGTTTATACAACAGTGATGCGTCATGCGAGCACAATCCAAGGACCAAAACGCCAAAGACTGAACAAACAGCTTGACCAATAAAAGTCGCAACGATGCCGTCTGCCTCACATGGCCTCACGGCTAACTCAGTAAAATATCTATAACCTGCAGTCCCGATTATTAATGTCGATATTTAATAAGCTGTACAAAATTTCTTACCTGTTTTTAAGTTGATTCACGCATAGCATTGTGGGTCTAACTAAAAATTGACCACAATGCAATGCGATAAGGCAAAATTTAAAAAATTCCCAACTACATCAATTAGGTCTGCTGCCTTGCTCGCTCGCTTCAGGCTCGCTCGCTGCGGCAGCAATTAGATCTGCTGCCTCGCTCGCTCGCTGAAGGCTCGCTCGCTGCGGCAACTATTGACTACACACTTGACTTGTGGGGACAGGAATATGATTAGACTATTGACTACACACTTGACTTGTGGTGGTAGGACGATGATGACAGGAATATGATTAGACTATTGACTGCGCACTTGACTTGTGGGGACAGGAATATGATTAGACTATTGATTGCACACTGAATTTGTGGGGACAGGAATATGATTAGACTATTGACTGCGCACTGAACTTGTGGGGACGCCACATAAAAATTAATGGTCCAATATACACATCGCTTGGGACACATTTATGGTCAGACACTAGCTTGACTCTGAGTGGAAATACCACAAGAAAAACGAATTTTGTAAAAATATTCGAATATAGTTCTTTTGAAGCCGATAGATACATCGAAATGGATGGACCTTTATTGAGTAGCATTTCATCAAATTAGAAGCGACATCTCCAGACTAAATATACAGTTGAGCTATGTATAGGTATGTCACGCAGATTTGCGAGGACACGGTTATGATTACACACTGGGATTGTGGGGACACAATTTTGATTCTTTAAATATAGGGCCATTAAAAATATTTCGCCCACATGGTGAAATATATTTACATTCCCTGGTGAGGGGAGAGAACATATTTATGAAATTTGTGCTGTCCTGTACATTATTCATTTCTTTTGAAGTCGATTGTTTTTTACGGTCATTGTACACGAATTATATGACTATGTCCACTTCTATCAATCGAGGCAGATGTGCAAGATACACAAATAAACTAGACTATTCAGGAAATCATTTTATATAATTGTTAAACTTGACAAGACACCTAAGTTTTTTTCCCTGTCATTCTCCAAAAAGCAGAAATAACTACAATCTATTGCTCCTTTAACGACCTTAAAAAACAGAAAACTTCTCGACCTTTAAACAACGGTATTGTGACTCCTTTTCAGTGAAGAATGGGCCACAGTAAATCTTAAACATTGTGACTTGTTCTCGAAAACAACTGAATGTTGAGAACTGGATAGTTACTAATTTGCTTCATTCTTGACCCTTTAGTCATTACCCTAAAAAATGGAAAGAAACACAACTAATCATTCATCTAACAAGCACACACACACCGTCCCCACAAGTTTTTACTTTAGAATTGGCCAACAACATAATACGAAGTGTCCCCACAAATATGAATACACACCTGTCCCCACTAGTCAGTACACACTTTGTCCCCACAAGTATGTCCCCACAAATCCGTGTGTTCAAAATGTGTTATAAATCATGATTTTATGTCACAAGTATCATTTAGGTACTTTAGGCAATCTACCGACCAAGTATAAAATCAGTGCCTACATAAATAAGCAGTGTCCCCATAAGTAAGTGTCCCCATAAGTGGGTAAAGGTGGGTATTGGTGTGTGTGTGTGGGTGCCACATCTTCGGTAATCGTCGGATATACGAAAGATGACGAACGGTGGTTCTTCTACTTCCGGAAAATTTCGTTGTTTCGAAGGACCGTAGAAGTCACGTTAATACGTTTGTCAAATTTTAAAGCGAAGGCGAGTACTTTAAAGACAAAAAAGCGGTGATCGGTGAGCGTTGAATCGACAACTACAAAGTTACACTAATAGAAAATAAATAAAACATTACTTTATTCGGCAAATGGTAGTAACAAGTTGCCCTGTTTTATAAATTTTAATGCAATATTTCACCTGTCAATTTCTTGCTTGTGGACATGCAGCAATTAAACCAAATACATTACCTTATTGCAAATGGTAGTAACAAGTTGTCCTGTTTTATAAATTATAATGCAATATTTCACCTGTCAATTTCTTGCTTGTGGACATGCAGCTATTAAACCAAATGCTTTGGAGTTTAAAAAGAAGCATTTATTTGAACATAACTAACAAAACATATTTTTTAAAAAACAAAACTTTTAACACAAGTGCATTTAAACTGAACAAAAATCTTTAAAATATTGTTCAGATACATAGATGAGTCCTTTGACATTGTTATGCTGAAATGTTTGAAACAATTTTGGACTCTTTGTTATATATGTGTGACTGTAAACAAGAACAAAGTTCTCTGGTAGCCTTACTGGTAAATGCTACTATACCTTCCTGGTAACTACTACTGAGCAATACACATTTATATGAGTGATGAATGATGGCACTCAATGTTGACTGATTGTCGGACTGATTACCACAGTGATAAGATATTGTCAACTGATAAATTTAAACTTAGAAAAAGCCACACAGATTTTTTGGACCTACGAACTGGTGCTATTATGTCCAGCTAATTGATGCTGATAAGTTATCTGTAATCAACATTGCAAATCACCTGTACCTTCCTACTGGATCAATGAAATCATACTATCTTCTTCAGTTATAATGGTGAAACATATTGCAAATATTCTTTTTCTCCTTCTAAACTAAGCTTTATGTTATCAGATGATGTGTGCCACCATCCCGGAACCTTACTCTCTTTTTTGTTCTCTTCACCTATTCTGCAAACATTTCATTTCCTATCTCTTGTAAAAATACTTATATATGTTTTGATCTGTCTAATTTAATACAATGAAATATTATAATATATAGATTGTGTACTAAATTGACTTCTTTATAGCTGTATTCAACCAGCTAACTATAGGGTGTTTATTCCCTTGTCTATGGCATTAGAACATAAGACTAGAAAATAATATTTGATTGCATCAGTTGATATTTACTTGCCACTATAGCAGCTTTATCGCAGTTAATAATGTTTTACAGGCTACCCACATGTACGCATTGCGTACCTATTTTTAAAGATTTTGCACTGTTTTGATAGTTTAAAGCTTCAGTTAACATTCAGACTAATTAATGTGCGAAAGTCCATTAACCGTCTGATTTAAAAAGGCGGCAGAATAACGAGCAATGTTTACTCCAGTTTTGCACGGAATAATAAGTCATTTAAGTCATTTCATAATAATAAAATTTCAAGCTTTGGTCACATATTATCACATCTATTGTTTACTTCGGTCAAATGTTGAGGGTTAATTGCTGCATGCATGCATTATTTCCAGTATATCAAATTATATATATCTATATATTAATTAGTATTCAATGCTTCATTTCGGGGCTTAAATCATAATTATTTACCTTCGTAAAGAAGGTTTACAGTTAAACGTCAAGTAAGCGTATACCTAAACGCTAATACCTGGCAAAAAGAAATCTTGCCCTCGTTTCGAGAGTGACCAGTTGGTTGACTCTGAAGTCTATGAGGCATTATAGTCAAACAGTAAGACAGCAAAGGACACTAAAAAGCTATAAGGCATTTATCGATTTACATGCATGTAGCTACTTGGGACAGAATAATAGGACATTTCGAGAGCCAAAACACAGGCAGAAAAATGAGTCAATATAACTAATCCTGATATGCATACAACTAAATTATAGTCAAAACTGCATGATTTCAACATTATTGACGCGGTATGCATGCATGATTATATTAACATTTTTGCCGTGCATTGAACACTGACTTAAATTGCATGGGCGAATTCGAGCGCGCGGTTCTAAGCTCGTCCGGTTCCGCAGATATGAACGTATATAGCCCAACTATGACGATAAATTTTCTTTCATGCTATAATATAGTATACGCGGGAAACATACACACTTTATACAAGTAATAAATTATGTATAAAATAATATACAAATTTATAAACATTATAACTAGGGAGCAGCCTTGTATCCTCTTCAAATAAGTTAGCATCAAAATGTGGTATAACAATATAAAATTATATGATATTATAAATATAAACATTACTGAGCAACTTACCAAAATATTTTACAGTTGTATAAACTGTTCAAATCTGCAGTTAAAGCTGAAAAGGAAAAAGAAACACTTCTTTAGTTATAATTAAAATAAGATATCTTTCTATCAGCTCATTTTAATTTTAATTTTATACCTTATATATTACTGGAGAGAGTATATATAGAGCAACAAATCGTGAACATATAATATCCAAAACCTAATCACCCACATTATTATATACGATCGCAGTAGCAAAAAATCGACTTCCTTCAGTTCAGCTCTTCAGTATAGAAGTTACTAAAATATTATCATATAATGGATGTAAAACAGATCCCGGGACAAATCCAATGCTCAATAAATAAAGATTAACATGCGGAACTTTTTTATTTATATATCACTACAGAATTTGAGGGTATTCCAAATTTGCAGAACAGTGAATTAAGTTAATGTTTTTGTATACTTGTGAAAAGTTGACTGAATTTGACCTGGAATTTCGGTACTCTAAATCTAAATCTATATACTGCATGCTAACCCTAACGCATGTGTATGGATTGAGACAGCAAGATTTAACTTTATGTTGTCATGAATTTCGAAATCTAAGTACTTCCTACGTACGTAGGTACTTCGGCGTGCTGTCAATCACCTCTCAAGAGATCTGACGTTAAACACAACATCCATGCATGATCCTGAATCTGTTGAAATGGGCACAATCAAGATATTGTTTTCGTCATTTCGCCGTTTCCTCAATTTTTTCTTACATGGACATTTTTATCTATAATAACTTACATTAATTAACATGCTTGTCCTCAATTTTATCTTGCACACGAGCAATATTGATGACACTTGCTGGAAGATACCTGACACAGATGAGCTAAATACAGAATGAAACTTCTGCATGTTTCTGATTGTTTTGTGTCACATGCGTTGGCCGCGCTTGATATAACTTCAGGTGAGCTTGGCAAGTGTCATGAGGGAATTTAATGAGTAAAACGTCGTGTTTTTAACTAATTTTATTAGCTTTTATATTTTTATTATTGTACGAAATTTGCTCTCCAAATGGCAGCTTTGATTAGATTTTAGCCTTTCAGAATGTAAATACATATTCATGGATACGGTTTCCCTGCCTTAAATGCGAAATTAACTCAACTGAGATTTTGTGAACAATATAATATTATTAATATTGGTTAAGTTAAATTAGCATGTGGGTGGATAAGTGAACTCTCGAAGCTACTGAAGTACCGACATGAAGTACAGAGGCCGGTTGTTTAATTAAAACTCTTTTTTCACGGCATAGTCAAATCCTAGTTAACTCAGAAATATACTAGTCTTATTGGCCAATTCTGTCATTAACTAACGTTAAAAGTTAACAATTAACAAACGTCTTATATACAACTGGCCCCTGCATGATATTTATTACAGGCAAGGTAAAACATTTCCGTAATACACGGTAGAAAGAACATATATACCTGGGAAGTGGTTGGATAATGAGACTGAACAAGTTGTCTTTACTGCCTAAACGTTGCAACCTTCAATCTAATCTAAACATGTTTTATGATCACGTGTACACGCTTAGATGTAAACGATGGTAATTAGTGAGCTTAAGCAAGTGACGTTTTCGACAGCACGTACGTTGACCGGAAGTCTAATGCTAATATTTTGGTGTTCGTTTACTGTGAAAAGCAGAATAAATCGCTAGGCTGCCTACGCCACTGTCTGCTTCTGCCTCTTCCATTTTGTGAATGACTATGTATAGCTGTACATCGAGTTCTTTCAAAATTCGAGATCTTAATTTGCGGTATGATTGTATAATTAAATGAAAATAGATCGAGAGGTATTGAATCAAAATAGTTCCAACAGAAATCAAAGTACAAAAAAATTGCTTTTAATGAATAAACCTAAAAATAACTATGCATTTCTCAGAAGACTATATTACTCTCAAATTATATGATGATTTTATGCTCTAGTGTTCTATATAATTATAGCCATAGTTTCTTCCGGTGTATCCGGTGCTGAATTTGACCAAGAATTTCGGTACCAGACGTAGCTTCCTCTTAAATATATATTTAAATATATATCTATAATTATATACTTTAGTATTCTTGGTTTCGGACAGCGAGATTCAACACTCTGTTATGTTGTCATGGAACTTAACAATCCACAATTTAAATAAGTCAAATTTACTTACGTCGGCGTGCTGCCCTTTATGAACCTCTTGATCAAGAGGTCTGATGTTAAACATAACAGGACGCTGTCTCGGCGTTTCATCTAAGTGAGGAGGCCTATCATCCGCCTACCTGTCGCAAGTTCACACATTCTTTATTATCTGTAACAGCATGCAAGTCAAATATCAGATTGACTGCATAGGAAATATAAATTATAACTCGTGGCAACTAACGACAAAATTTATACATTTCTCTTAATTGTAGTATTATCTTAATTGTGGTAATATGTACGTATCCCGTGCTTCCGGTCATATTGAAATTTGACGAACTTTCCGATGTTTACCATGCAGCATGCATGGCGCACGACGAAGTGTGTATTTCATTGTTAAAAGGTATGGTATATATAGGGTACCAACAATGTACAATAAATATATACTTTCTAAACTCTACCAAAGTTCAAAATAATTCGAAATAATGGAAAAACTACGAAAGAAATATGTATAACAATTTTCATCATAATCTTAGCTTCTCAAAAATCACAGAATCCTCTAGTTTCTTTTTTAGAAAAATAATATCGATATTAACATGGATCAATTGCAATTACTAGCAGCGTGGATTGTTAACATATCCATTATCAATATACAGGAATGCGATATAACGGAATTCAGTTCAAAATTTGATTTACACACACGTGCGTCCACGAAGAGACTTTTAGATACTCATTAATCTTTTGAAATGGGCGCAACAGTTAAGATATTGTTTTCATCATTTCGTGTCCTCAATTATTTTATCTAACATGGCGTCTTGCAATACGCGCAATATTGCATGATCACACTTGCTGGAGAGGAATTGAGAGCAATGACGTCGTAACACCAGGAACAAACAAAATTAATGACGAATATCATGCCAGCAGCACTTGTCGGTAAGATTGCTGTTTTGGGACACAGTGACTGCGTGAAAGACATTTGCATGTACATGACTATCAATTTCGATCCGAACCATCGCTAGAAGCGTAACTATAGAGTTTGTGTACTCATATATTCACATGCCCGACTGATTTCTTTCATTGGCTTTTATCTTATATTATTCTACGAAATTTGCTCTTCAAAGTTCAAATGGCGGTTTTGATTAGTTTTTAGCCTTGTAAAATTAATTACGATTGATGGATACGGTGTCCCTATCTTAAAGGCGAAGTTAACTCAACTGAGATTTTGTGGTACATTATAATAATATTATTTTGTAATATTGGATGCATGGGCTTTAGCTCACAAAGCTAAATTTGCATGTGGGTAGATTAAGTGACTAAAATACTCGACTAAAGTAGCTACTGAAGTACTGACCTGAAGTACAGGGGCCGTTTGTTTAAAACTCTTTACCCACATTTTGCATAGTCAAATCCTAGTTAACTCAGAAATAATTATACGAGTCTGATTTGGCCAATTCTGATTGACCAAAATTAAGAGTTACCTATCCTCTTATACAACTGGCCCCTCTTGCATGATGCATTGAAATGAATGTATCTATCACAGACAAGGCAAAGCATCCCCGCATGCAGTAGAAATAACATATATGAGAAGTAGTTGGATAATGAGGTTATATCCTTATTATATATAGCAAAATTACTTTACACAATCTCTTTGTCAAGATTTCGAAACTGACCTTCTTAGCGGCATGTATTCCTCCGTATTACGCGAAAAAATACGTTGCACAGAAAAAACGTTCTTCGGTACCTAGTGAACTGTATATAAATAACTGGAACTATACCTCTTCGTTGTTTTTGTGAAGCCAAGATTTGCGAGATGTTTCACTGTTCTTGCCAAACTTTACCGTCGTTCCTATCTAAGCGTGTACACGCGTGATCATAAAATATGTTTTAATTAATTCGAGGTTATAACTATTGGCGGTAAAGACAACTTGTTTCAACAACAGCGCATTCAATCAACATATTTGATTTGGAAGAAATTACCTATAATTTCTGTTATAAATTACCTATAATTTCTTTTGTGAATTACCTATAATTTCTTCCAACATCAGTTGGGTGAGTACATTGCGTATAGCAATTGAACTTTTATCCCTTGAAACAAATTGTTTTTACCGCCAAAACGTCACAACTTTGAATCTAATTTAAAAATATTTTATGATCACGTGTACACGCTTAGATGTTAACGACGGCACTGATTAGTTAGCTTGAGCAAGTGACGTTTTCGACAGCACGTATACGTTGACCGGAAGTAAAGTTTTTGTTTTTCACCAATCACAAGCCCTGACCGTCTGACCCAGTCTTCTGACGATACTCATGCCATTTGTGTTGTCAAAAACGTCACTTGCTTCAGCTCACTATTATCTGCTAAAGAGGTGTCTGGGAATTCCTGACTGCATGCAGAACTTTTATCTCCTTCTGCCTTTTCAATCTTGTGAATGACTATATGTACATATTTATCACAAATGGACCTAAAAATTAAATCGAGTTCCTTCAAAATCCGAGATCTTAATTTACCGTATAATTCGAATTGAAATGAAAATAGATCGAGACGTATTGAATCCAAATACTTCGTACAACAAAACATTGCTTTTAATGATTAAACTTACGAATAACTTTATAATTATTTCTCAGCTAGGAGACTATGAATCGCAAATTATATGTTCTATAGTCCTCTATATAGGCATATAGCTATCAGTACACGTCCATACTATTACTAGAAACTATAAGTTCATTCGCTTCATTATATATTCGTTCAATTTCTGTTTTTAGCTCGTGATTATCCGCGATATCCTTTAAATGCAAGTGATATACAATATTCAGCTAGTTCGGCGTCCAAACACCCTCTCTTGCAGCATTTCTGGTGAAGAGTAACTCCTTTATAGACCGTGTACCCAATATTGGCGGCGGTCGCAATGCCTCTTTTGCTATTAGTTTTTTCGGAGTCTGCCATTCCTTAGTAAAGAAAATTACAATAAGTCATTACCGTTTTGTTTTGAACTGTGCCTTAGAGTTATAGGCTACTACATGCATGGATCGTTAGTGCAAACAGTGACGTAACTAAAACGATAGTTGGATTGAATATTTACATATCCGAATCTGCCCGAACCATTTCCTTTGTAAGTGCAATAGCTTACAATAGAAATCCGTCGGGAAGAACAGAATATTATATCAATATTCTCCACCCGATCTTCAATTATCGTTCTAGTTACGCCCATGAATACAAAGCTTTTCGGAAATTAATTATGTTTGCATGGATATTTGTTATATTTTTCACGCCCAATAATCATAAACTCGACGTTTCGGCCTAAGAGACTTTGTAGCAATTAAGAGATAGATGTTTGCCATGCATAAAAAATACTCCTGTAACCCTGAGCGTCAGAACGAAGGATGGTTCTCAGTAAATAGGGTCAACTCTAATACAACTAAATGGCACGACACTCCAATGTCTAGCTGCAAACTAATAACAAAGACCTTTTATAAAGGTCCATAATAATTATTATAGAGACGCCCCGTACAGAGCTCGATTTGCATGCTATGCACCAAAAAGTTGTGATGCGAATATTTACCTGCGTCGAACTCGATAGATCTTTTCCCGATGCCAAACCGCGAACCAAAATTTCGCTTGAAGCACGATAGGCCACTGCAGACGGATCTCGCTCGTGTATACAACTTGAAACCGCAGCTGTGCCTCTTTCGATCACCGCAAACCCTCTTGTAAGCACCATAGAACGTTTTCTGCAGTTTTTTGTATATTTGAAGGGCAGGTTTCAAACACGAACCGATCCTTCTGATACTCGGCAGGCCTAACCTCCGCAGTCGTATACCCGGCACCAAACGCCGCACACGAAATCTTCGTCGGAATCTCAAACGCGGTCGTAAACGTCGCACCCTGAAACGACGCAAACGAATACGTGGTACTACTCTCCGTACGCGCGGCACTCTGACAATTTTGCGGACTCGCCAACGACGAGTTCTCCAGCCTTCAATTTCATAGGCCAATACACAAACCAATAAAACCAAACAGAGTAGTTTCATCATTTTTGCAATCTTAAAAAAATGTTAGATATTGGAATAATTATTATGGAATGAAAAATGTTGGAAAGCTAAAAAACCCTAATCTAACACAGTCCTTCGTTTCGCTCGCCTCAAAATTCTTTGAATTCTATTTCTGGACAGTACTGTATATGCAAGTCCCTCAGACCTTTGTTTCGCCTTCGCTTCTCCCCGCGAATTCTAAGGCGAGCGAAACGAAGCTCTGTGTTCAGGCAGCTTTATTGGATTAATAAATCGCTATACTTAAACACATGCCTCGACGAGTTAGATATAAAGTCTGGTGATGTAATTTATACGTAACATAACGAGTTACGGGATGGATCCCCGACACCAACATCGCTCTCTTCGTCTGAATCTCCGTTATTATCTGCCTCAATTCGCTTCATAACTTCATCCAAAGTCAAAAGGCTATTATTGAACGCCATTTTTAAAGTCCAAAAGTATCAAATTACAAATTTCCAACAAAAACCCCGCAGTATTTTGTTATATTTTTGTAAAAATTCGCACAAATTGAATCAGAAAGTGTTTATCTAAATGCACTAATAACTGCGCATGACTATATAGGGATATTTATGCATGTACGGGGTTTAAAATGGACACAACATTTACGGGGTCATTTTGGCCCCGGTTGGTACCATGCAAAGGGTTGTTAAGAAAGAACGTTCTCATTGATCAATAATAACAAAATTTCTATGTCATATACTCAATCAGTCTGAGTGTGGTATTGCTTTTAAACCTTAATCTTTATCCAACTCACAAAGACTTTTTTATTATAAGCACTCCAGCGTCTTGAATCTGAGCCACAGTCGAAAAGTACAAGTGCAGTGTTTAATTAATTTTATTAGCTAGATACATTTACCTGGCAATATATTAACGCAGAACCTCCCCACCTGGCTCAACCAATTGATATATGTTTTTATAAAGTATTACCTTATAAAAATCATATATTAGAAGAGTATTGTGAAACCATCTTTTAATCGTGTGAGCGTGTATATAATGTATTGATAGACGGCACTACGAAGTGACAAATTTGTACTGGTAGCATGCATGATAGCTCAGTTTGAATATGCTCCTTAGCCTTACGAAATGTAAGCTTTTTTATCAAGTGAATTAATCTCTCATGTAACCTTATTAACTTAACTTCCGTTAATTTCTGCACAACATTGATGAATTGATGATTTTTATCACGAACACCATTACATGAAATTATCACATTCACAAACTGCCTGCCGTGGCTCCCTATACAGTCTTAAAATTGTTAAATTCTAGGAAATAAGTTCCCTGAATTACTAGATTTTCGGTTACGGGTGATCCGTGATAGAAAGATAATTAATTTTTAAAATATTGAATAATATTGAAATACCAGTTATACATGGACTATACTTCCGCGACTTTAGTGCAGCATTAATTTTGCATTAATTCAGAACTCGATACCAGCGTAATCAACCGGCCTCTTGCAGAATTAGTACCGCTGCCAAAGTACCTGCTGTGGGGTGATACATGATAACAAAACGAATGATTTCGAAACAAAATTTTGTGCCGAAAATGAAGGAGAATTATATAACAAAGTGTATTTTGGGGAAAAACAACTCTTTTTGTAGTCTCTTTTTACCAGTTGGAACCGTACATACTTTTGCTTGAATAACGATCTCACTGTACATACTTTTGCTTGAATAACGATGCAGATCAATTATAGGAACATTATGAAACTTCAGAAAACGATTTTAAATAAAACACTTACCAAAGAGCGTCGACAAACAGTTCAAAATGTTACTCCTGCTACAGAAATTGAATAAAAGTTCTCACGTTAATAATTACTATGTTCAGTATATTCAATACACACTATACTTTCGTACCTTACAATGTTGTTGTGAACGCACCTGCAACAAGCAGGTGTTTGTGATATTTATATGTTTGGGAATGGAACAGACTTTATTTGTTTTGCCCTTTTTTAGCAGGAATTAGAAAGACATTTTGTATAAGATAAGGATGCAAAACAAACCAATTATAAACGAATCGGGGAAATTAACTCCAATGAATATATCAAAAGGTTTTTTTGTGATATACACAAAATCTCTTTTTACATTAAATGTAAATAAAGAACTAAACTCTTTTGTCGTGTAAGATACTTTTTGGAAGCTAAAATAAAGAGATTACTGAAATTCTTTGTACTGAAAGAGATTTCCGACGAGCCACGTGAAATGCAAAACATCTTTCTTCAACACATGCATGAATAAGAATTTTTAACTTTGACTAATAAATGCGGCAATATGCTGTAACACTAAAACGAGGCTACCAGACAACGAGCAGCAGCCTCGTTCTCGTCTTACGGCTTATTTCTACACTTATTTGTAAAAATTAAAAGCTCTTTTTCATGCATGTCTTGAAGAACGATGTTTCACATTTTAGCGCAAAGCTTGTGAGAGTAAACCTGAAATCCATCCGATTTAAGGTGGTTCTAAATTTAAAATGATAATGTTGTGACGTAATTAATTATCGAAAGGATCTATTGAAAGTGCTTTAAGGGATTATATTTAAAGTTCTATCTACAAAACACTTATAGAGCAACCTTATTGCTTTAAAATGTTTCGTGTTATGAAAAGCAATACACACAAACTTGATCACATATACCAAAGACGGAAGTCCTCTTCGGACTACAGGATATGTGTAAAAAATATAAAAGATTTTGGATCCCAAAAAACCTCTTAGCAGAAAAAAGCACACTTGTAATCTCATAGTTTGGTCAACAATAAATATTTTTACAAACTACTAAAGCTTTTGTCGTAACACATGATTTTAGCAGCATGATCACTAACTCAGCCTAGATTTAGCTACGTGTTACAGAGTAATGTTTCATTAGGCATACATCAGAATAATTATGTGACATTAACCTAGTTACTGTCTGCAAATTAAGATAACGTACGTTTGTGAACGTTTGTATAAAAACGCCTTTGTTTAGATTTTCCTTAAAACATTGCGTGTAATTTTACACTTGGTTAAATTAAAAGGCAATAATCAATTCAATCCAGCTAATTTCAAACTGGCACTAATTCTGCTGTTATTAACCCGCACTTAAATAAAAATTTCACCAAAGTTTGTAAAACCCCATTCAATGAGGACGACAAAAATCGCGAGTCGGCAAACCTTATTCGAGGCAAACCAGGAATTTACCATCTTTTTTGTGTTAAGATCTCGTCGTTTAGTGTTTCTTGTTATATATTTTTCTCCTGTTGTAATATAAATCCTGTTGCAAATAAATGACATTAGATAGTTGAAAGGAAATTTAGTGCATATCTCTGTAGACGCCCCTTAATTCGGAGAGACCACTTAAACAATATGCATATAGTTTAGAAATTTGCCAGACAAATTAGCGTCATTCAGTTGAGTGTGTTGTTAACCTTGGATGGTTCCGTTTCTCTTTGTATGCAGATTTATATGGTCCAAAATTGCGTTGAAAATTTAAAACCACTGCTTCAAACGAAATGTTGTACCATTTTACTCAAAAATTGTCACAGACAATTTCTATGAACTGTAATAGGAAAAATATTTGAGCAAGCATGCACGAATGCACACATTTATAATAAATGTGTTTTTATATATTTATTTTAATACTTTTAGTACTTTTTTTATTTATTTAATTCATTTATCCTTCCAAGGTATGCATTGTTTAGATTGTCCTTAAAACATAGCGTGTAATTTTACACTTGATTAAATTAAAAGGCAATAATCAATTCAATCCAGCTAATTTCAAACTGGCACTAATTCTGCTGTTATTAACCCGCACTTAAATAAAAATTTCACCAAAGTTTGTAAAACCCCATTCAATGAGGACGACAAAAATCGCGAGTCGGCAAACCTTATTCGAGGCCAACCAGGAATTTACCATTTTTTTGTGTTAATATCTCGTCGTTTAGTGTTTCTTGTTATATATTTCTCTCCATTTGTGAAATTTTATGCCCAAATAAATGACATTAGATAGTTGAAAGGAAATTTAGCGCAGATCTCTCTAGGCGCCCCTTAATCATGGCCAGAAATTGCGGACATCGAATATGCAGATTGCCGTAGCAAATTTGCATATCTGTTCAAATATTATTCGTTTGCAGAACTATAAATTATATTGCGCATTCTTAAATTTCGCAAAATTTAAGAAAATCATTGCATCTTTGCAATTTGCCCTGGTTGTTTCTTGTAATTCGTGTCATATTAAAGATCCTGAGGTAATATTTTGCTGGTAAAGGTTTATGTTGGCTCTGCATTTTTATTTTATTTCTACGCTATTACGGTTTTTGTTTTATATGGTATTCAACGTGATAAATAATCAAACTTTTTTTTGAAAATGCAGGACGAATACTGATAAAATATTTTGAAATACTATATAAAAATATTAAGATTAACTTGCTCTGCAACGAGTAATTAAGGCAAATTATAATTGACCTACCTAAAGGTGTATTTTTAGCGTTTAGTACTGTGCACATTACAGTTTACTATAAACTCACGAAGCTTTATTTTGACACCATATGCAAATTTAGGCGGAAGTAGAATGTTAATTATGTCCGAATTTTCTGGCCATGTCAAAGAGACCACTTAAACGATATGCATCTAGTGTAGAAATTTGCCAGACAAATTAGCGTCATTCAGTTGAGTGTGTTGTTAGGCTTGGACGTGTTCCGTTTCACTTTGTATGCAGATTTATACGGCCCAAAATTGCGTTGAAAATTTAAAACGACTGCTTCAAACGAAATGTTGTACCATTTTACTCAAAAATTGTCATAGACAATTTCTATGAACTGTAATAGGAAAAATAATTGAGCAAACATGCAGGAATGCACACATTTATAATAAAATTAATGTGTTTTATTTATTTATTTAATACTTTTAGTACTTTTTTTATTTTTTTAATGCATTTACCCTTCCAAGCTATTGCATGCATGGTTTATATATTTCTGTTGTATTTCAAATTCATACAAGTATACGTACCTTACATGTATATACCTACAACTATTATATTATTATTATAATAATTATATAGTCATAGTTACAGTATGTACGCTGGACCACCAATGAATAAACAGTTAATAATTACAAACCACATGAAATTAAAAGAAAGTTTGTACAAGAGTACACACAAAATCAGTATCAGATTAGAAACGACAGACGGCCTTCCTAGCAATCTAGGAAGTTAAGTTCTCTTTTTGTGTTAAGATCTCCGTCATGGTTAATGTCTCCTGTTAATTTCCTCCATTTGTGAAATTTACAAGCGGCCGATTGAAATGTTACAATAACGACACGCAAGCTTTTAAACTGTATATGATTTTAAATTAGAAAGAACGCTTTAAGGAGTTAAGGTTAGAAAAACGTCTATTGTTTCAGTGCCATGGAATAATTATATAAATAGACAAGCACCCGATTACACTTGAGCGAAAATAGTTGAATGTAGACGATTAGCTGATCATGACTAAAAAGATCCACAAATTGTTAGTAGTGTAAATCACGGAGAGCTCCAGTATTATAAATTATATAATATATCGTATCTTGGTATTAGCAACGCATGCATGCAGTTTATCAATTTCATGTGCGTATAAGTATGTATACTCAGGTTTTGAATTTTGACAGCGTTCAAGGTGACGCACATTATTGCTCAAACCTATAACACCAGTCATCAGCCTAATAGACTAGTCATACAACCGAGAATGCACGATTGGTATTTTATTATAGTTTGCAAAGAATCGTTGTATAGCTTGCGAGAACGACAGACATCACCAATATAGGTATTATTCCTAGAGGAAATCCGTTGTTAAAAAACTTGCTACGACAATTAGTGTCATCTTGAATGCATTGTTGAACTTGGTCCTTTGACTTATTGAACGTGTTCCGTTTGATTTTGTATATCGATTATAGTTGCAGAAAATGACTTAGAAACTTTAAAACAGTCGCTTTTGGCTAGGTATTGTGCACTGCTTTCATAAGATATTTAATCAGGAGAAGGATTAAGCTTGAATTTCGTTAATTCACACACATGCATGGAAGAATTCTTTGCGAAAGGTTTTTAAAAGTGTTTTCATCTTGAAAATCTTCGTCCTAAATTTTTAATGGTGTTACATCCGGTTTTTGTTTTTGTACAAAACTCATATCGCCATCAAATCAAATAAAAGTGTAGGGTATATATATAGTGTGATTATAATGTATTTTATAGAATTAGCACATAATTTATCAAATTTTTGGCCTAAACCGTATAATCTATATGTAACTACCATTTTCATAACAGTGAGTTGGAACTCTGAATTCAACGTAAAACAACAATAGACGCGCTGTGTCAGCTAGAATCATGCATGTTTTTGTTTTTGATAAAGTTTGATACAAATATGATGACAAAAGCTTTTATAAGTTGTTATCAAAAACCATGCACTTACAATGGAACTAAAACCTTTTGTATACTCAAAGATATTTGGAACTAAAATCTTTTGTTTGTTCTTATCATCACGTATTAATCAGGTGGTTTCGACGTAGTTCGTATGTATGAGGTATTGAGCAAAAGCTTAAAGTTAATGTTAAGTAGCTTCATCTTCAATCATACTTTGCCACCGTTTTGAGCCGCTTCATTTCCTGGCTGCTCTTTTATAACAATCCAAAATAATAAAGTACAGAGTGTCCCAAAAAGGAACGGGACGCAAACATAATCACCGAGCCGGCGCGGAGCAAGGATACTATAGGTAATTTGGCTCAGAAATCTAGATTAAGTAAATTTGGTATTTTGACTGAACAACCCAAACTTGTCCAAACTCAATATAATCGAAGTTGGACATTCAATAAGCAATGGTTGTTTTGCGCATGCGCGACATTTGAACAAGTAGAGACTGATAATGAGAACACCGCGGAAAAATGTCTGCGCACGCGCCGAAATATCAAAATATTATAGTAAATCTAAATATCAACTTTTGGAACAAAACATGCCCATTATTTGATAAAATATAAGTTAAGAAAAGGCGAAAATATACAAGACGGCCAGACAGAACATAAATTAAAAGCCTTCTAGCATTTAGAGTATCGAACGAACTGGAATTCACGGTAAATTTTCCTTTTTTTACGGGGTGGCTTTAGAATACTTTTCGAAAACAAAAGTTTAAACCTAAAAGTTAAGAAAACCCACGGAAAGTTAAGTTTTCTAATATATTTAAATTGTAAAATACATCTTAATTTTCAATCATTGAGAACACGCAAACGTCTCGTATCTGGCGACATATTTTTTTTTAATAAAACGTGTCTCAATTAAAAGTTCGGAAACTGTCGTTGCTTATTTGATAAACAAAAGGTTTGAGACGAAAAATTTGTCAACAGCCACCTTTTACAGGTGTTTTTGTAGGATGCGACTACTAGGACTCGCTGGACGTTTTTTCTCTTAGTTTCTATAATGCAGTGTTTATTTATGCTCTCGAAATATGGATTTGAAGACCCGAATGAAATCACTCCTTTTTACCGCCATTTTTAGCCTTCGGAAACGTTCGGAACCGCTTTTTAATTATTTTTAATCTCACTTACAGGCAGAGTTGACGCGTGAGCATAAGACAAAAAGTTTGTGTTTTCATAAGAACGTCGTTTTTTGCAAACTCTTTTTTTAGAAATGTTTTAATTCACCATAACGAAAAAGATGGCGCCGCGCAAGGCATGCTGGTAAAATGTACATGTTGTCAAAAAGAAAACAAACATGGTTGGTCATTTGCTGGCAAGGTTAGACTACACAAATGCCCAATAAAAAATGCGTTGTCGCAAGATGTACTCATACAAGTTGGCGACATAAAACGCTGACTTTCTATTGCTTTCCGAAGGACGATAAACTACGGCGGAAATGGATTAAAGCTGTTTCTTTGAGGGCGTTAAACTACCGATGGAAGCCGAGTGACCGAATATGCAGCGCTCATTTTCCAAACGGACGCAAGCTTGGAAAGAACAACATCCCTTCCATCTTTCCCAGATGGGATTTCAAAAAGAAACAAGTTGTGTGGCCTGTTGATATCTCGAGTTTGCTGAAGGAAAATTTGTATCCTGTTGATAATAATGACGTGTTTACTTCCAAATCTGATATTGAAAACAAACCTATTCATGGCGAAGATGAAGTTGACCGTCCTAGTGAGATAAACGAAACAAATATTTTCCATATCAGTACCGAAAACACAACGATTGTTGATGAGAGCGAAGATTTGAGGGATGAAGTCGAATGTAACAGCACAGGAAATAAAGAGAAAGCAAGTATAAATGATGGTGACTGTCCTAACTGTGGCACGCTACGACAACGTGTGCAGGACTTAGAAAAGCAGCGAGATATTCAAAGGTTTGGAGTAAAAAGATTCATGCTCTCCGATAGTGACATGAGATTTTACACTGGTTTGCCAGATTATCGAACTTTCCTTGCATTGTATAATTTTTTGAAGCCACAACCAGGGTTTCAGTTGAACTACTATAATAACTATACAAATAAAACTGCTTCTGAACACCAAGTGGTAAGAGGAAGACCTAGAAGTCTGAACAGTATTGACGAATTATTTTTGACATTGATTAGACTACGGCTAAACTTGTTTGAAAAGGACCTTGGAGATAGGTTCAACATTTCCCAGTCTACTGTGTCTGAGATATTCTCAACCTGGATAGACCGCATGCATGATTGTCTTGGGCAGTTGAAGTTCACTGCAAATCTCAGTATGATGAAACAATACTTACCAGCATGTTTCAAGTCAGGGCATGAAGATGTTTCTCTAATTATTGATTGTACTGAGATATTCCTGGAAAGGCCTTCTCAGGTTATTCAACAATCAGCCACCTGGTCGGATTACAAAAGTCATAATACTGGAAAGGCCTTGTTAGCTCTATCTCCTGTTATGCTCCCAGTATTTACATCTGACATATTTCCTGGCAGTATATCAGATGAAGAAATGGTAATTGAGTGTGGTGTCCTACAGTATGCACAGAATGGTGATAGATGGTTGGCAGACAAAGGTTTTTTAATTCAGCATATTTTAGATAAGTATGGAGTAAGAGTTGACACACCAGAAAAATTAGAGGGAAAGGGCCAGTTTAACCATCAAGAAGATTGCAAGAACCGAAAGAATTCACAGGTGAGAGTTCATGTTGAAAGAGGTATTCGTCGAGTAAAATTGTTTAATATTTTAAAAGGGAATATGCCAATTCGATACCACCATCTTTTATCAAAGATTTGGAAAGTCTGTTGTTATCTAACTGCCTTTCTTCCACCACTAATCAAAGATAAAAGTGATATTAATATCCAGGACAATGAAGAGTAACACCATTTTACAAATTAATTAAGTAACAAATGTTGTGATTTCTTGTTTGACAAAATGCAATGGTTTCTTACAGTATTGTGTGTTAAACTATTTCTAAGCTGTTTTAATGTAAGAGTGTAAATATACAGCAGAATGCAATGAATAATCTAATGTGAAGAAATTATTTAATATATTGTAATAAATATGTACAAAGCAATTTAATATTAAAATGAATGGAATGTTTACATTGTTTTATTTAAATACGATGCATGCTGACTTGGGACTCAATTTTTGCCACAAAGGTCTCTAATCAAAAGTGATTCTTCTATTGTAACAAGGTTTCACAAGGTAAATTTCGGCCATTAGAAAACATACTGTACAATTACTTAAGAAAAAGCTATTTCTGTACAAGATTTAGAAAGTTGATTTGCTTCTTGTCTTAATGGTAGCATACTTTCAAATTCAGGAACATTTCCAGCCAAAGTATCACAAAGTTTCTGGGATATTTTGCATTCTGCTTGAGGAATAGTGCCAATTTTTTCATTGTTGAGGACTGCATTACAGACATGCATGAACAAGGCAATAAAGTATTTATTTCTAGTTATTAGAAAATACTTGGAAACTTTATTTTCTGGAACAAAAGACTGTAGTATACCAAAAGAAGCATCTGCACATTCCAGTTGTAACTGAATTTGTGTGTAATGTGCTCCTGTTACTGATAACAGTGGCTCCATATAACCCTCAGCTCTAGTTTTAGTTTCCAGAACACAACGACCAGATAGAATATGTGTGTTGTTTGTTTGAACTTCAGTGGCTGTTTTGCAGGATTCGCCTTGAAATATTCTATCTGGTGAAGCTCCATAATTTGGGTCAGAATCCAGACAGAAAAATCCACATTCTTCAACATCTGCTCCACTTTCCCTTGAAAAACAGACTGCTGCTTCATCTTCAAATTTTATACCTCTTTCAAAGTTTCTTAAGAACTTTTTGGGTTCTTGTTTTTTTTTTTTACACAATGCCATGTAACATCATATTCCTTTCTTCCCATCAAGCCAATTAATGCTGGGGCTTTAGACCCAGTAATTTTACCAATTCGTTCAGTAAACCATTGCACACTCCTTTGGGCAGGTCTTGTTTGGGTTTCAGCTTCAGGTATGTTTGCACTTGCTTTAGTATGGCATGCATCTCCACTGGTGTACAGTATGTTTTCTGTGCTGATGGCTGTTTTTGCAGTACTGGGCTCAGAACTGTCTGTAAAGTTCAATCTTAATATGTCAATGACACTCTGGGAGCATTTTGAGCCTGACAAATCCTTGCACAACTCGTGAACACGTTTTTGATCCACATTTGGTTCACCACATGGTCTGGAAGTGTAAGTGGAACTTACTTCAACTGGAAGTTTTCTCTTACGACCCCCTGCTTCATCTCTATGTGCTAAGTGTTTTTCAAATGTTAGTTGCTGAAAAGGCTTGCGTTTCATAAGCTCCTTCTCAGGATCTTGTTTCGATTTGAGAGAGGGCAAACCCCACATTTGTCTAACCTCGGTGCAGCTAACAGGCTTTGGAAGTTCTTGTTCTGCAGACATTGTTGCCTCGGCCAGTTTATACGATAGGGCAGCAACGTGTTTACAAAAACCCCGCCTTCCAGCTGCACCATGGCCAGAAATTGCGGACATCGAATATGCAGATTTGCCGCAGCAAATTTGCATATCTGTTCAAATATTATTCGTTTGCAGAACTATAAATTATATTGCGCATTCTTAAATTTCGCAAAATTTAAGAAAATCATTGCATCTTTGCAATTTGCCCTGGTTGTTTCTTGTAATTCGTGTCATATTAAAGATCCTGAGGTAATATTTTGCTGGTAAAGGTTTATGTTGGCTCTGCATTTTTATTTTATTTCTACGCTATTACGGTTTTTGTTTTATATGGTATTCAACGTGATAAATAATCAAACTTTTTTTTGAAAATGCAGGACGAATACTGATAAAATATTTTGAAATACTATATAAAAATATTAAGATTAACTTGCTCTGCAACGAGTAATTAAGGCAAATTATAATTGACCTACCTAAAGGTGTATTTTTAGCGTTTAGTACTGTGCACATTACAGTTTACTATAAACTCACGAAGCTTTATTTTGACACCATATGCAAATTTAGGCGGAAGTAGAATGTTAATTATGTCCGAATTTTCTGGCCATGAAGAGAAGTCTCTAGCTCCAAGTATTTCCCCAGTTTTCTTGTCAAAAAGTACACATATTTTATACGTTTCATCTTGTTTAGTTTGTTTCATTGCTGCCCGTGTATATCCACGAAGCAAGAACATGTTGTGCTCCTGCAAGACATTGATTTCAATCCTTTTCCCTGAAGTTTCAAATTTCTTGGTTTTTGAAAACGCATAACCTTCTAGTAAGTGCCTCTTCCCTTCTGCTTTTGCAAAATAGTTTTCCACAATTGAATGGGTTATTACTGGTATGCCATGAAGTGAAATAGTCCAGTTTTCTTTGTTGATAACGTCTTCCGTTTCGAGGATTTTTTCGATTAAATTTTGTTCCTCGCTGAGGCTTTCTTTCCTCTTCTTCTCGTACGTATCGCCACTTGGATCTTTTAAAAATTTTTTGTCCCATCCCATTGAAATGTAAACCTTAATTCTGGCAAGAAACATTAACAGAAAACATTTCAATTAGATATATTCTATATAAAACAACGTAAAGACATTTCGTATAGGCTTTCAGCAAGTGTCACCAATTTACTTCTCTATCAACTCTCCGCGTCTAAGTCCACTTAAATTTCGACAGCCTCTGCATTTCAACCATAAAACAGCTTCTGCCTTTGTTATTTCATCGACCTTTTTACAAAGTTTTGCACCTGGAATATCATTTTCATTCAACAAAATGTTCGAACTGTTTTCTCCCGCCATATTGTTTTCTTTTTGACAACATGTACATTTTACCAGCATGCCTTGCGCGGCGCCATCTTTTTCGTTATGGTGAATTATAATTGAAACAAAATGTGGAAAAATTGAACAAACACTAAGAAACTCACTTTTATGATTACATTTGGGTCCGAATCATGGAAACCTATCGACTCGTTTCAGAATAGCTCGGGAAATTGTTGCTTTATTTGACATAGCGAGGAGTGTGAGAGATGGGATCTAAGGTGACGTCATGCATGAAACAAATGGTATATTAATGAGGTATTTTGAAGTTTGAAGTGTTGTAAAATATCTCTTTTGTAGGTGTATTATTCGTACGTAAATCATTCTGTTAAAGATGAATGGAGTCTGAATCTGAATAGAAGAGTTTTTTAAGAAAAGATTATTTCTTAAGTGGCAGCGGTATGCGTGTATTTCTGGTACATATTAACTATTATCCATTAAAACGACTTCCGCATAACTATTTTTCCCCGTAACTCGTTCATATCAAACTCTCGCTATACAAATAGTCTATATCGCGTTACAAGCGAGGATACCCCCAGCAGTGCGCAATACAAACTCGTCCAAAATAAGCGCTTTTTCTGTTCGTGTGCCTTAGAAACTGAAGCTATCTTTCACTTACACACGGATTATTAAATTTAGACCTATGCCGCACATTCTTTATTGTTTTTGGTAAAGATTCGTCGTATCCCGGAGTCGGACTTTGGGGGTTGAATGTTGCGGGCTATATAAGAATATTGGTCAAAAATCGCCGTTTAGAGCGGAAGTTGCGGGAAAACTCCTCGTACTGCTTCCACTATACAATATTTCTTTTCCTTACATTCGGAATTGAAATCTACATGTTTTGGCGCGTATTTTGATATGAATTTCGTACATATTCAACGTGAATTAGCTTCGGACCGATGGCCATGAACTGTAGGTATTTTGCGACATTGGTCGACATTTACATATGTTGTTCACGCATTAATGCAGTCTCTGCTGTTGGTGATGTGAACACAATCAGAATGGAGGCCCGCCGTTTACTTACGAGATAAGCAGGCAAGGGAATTTTATATTTTCCTTGTATGCTTTAATATAGTACTGTTTAATACGACAGTTGTGTATATTCTGACAAATTTTAAGCCTGACATATGCTGTCTAAGTATATACTGTAAATAGCGTCGGCAATAGCCTACGCTGCTACAGTGATTTTCTTATTGATATATTGTGTATATATTATATAATATGCTGGAATAAGGGACATAAGACATTAATATCGTTCACATCGGCTACCTGCGCGTGTAAGGGCGAATTTTAATCAAAAGGTTTTATTGTTATTGTTATTATCGGCTCTATCGTCTATATTGGCGCGGCGGCCAAAACACGAGGCTTTTCATACTGAAGAAACGGGAAATATATTATCCTTGCCATAGCCCATAGGGTCGCCATTCATCAAAACGCGAATCGTATCCTTTAAAATGCGTACGAACACGTTTATTTTTTTGATCAACCTCTTTAATCTCAACCTCGTAGAGGTTATTGTCTTTCGCCTCCCGTTTAAATGATTTTTTTCCACATCGAACCGCAAATTCGTGGACAAAACGTTGAGGTTTGCATAATGTGCGCTTTGGTCTAGACACCATATTGTTTTACAAGGCGCGCATTTTGTAAAAGAAAAAAACTGGACACTAGTTTGAGCAAATGTTCATCTCAATAGGGAAAGAGTTTGATATGTTAGATAATTGAAGGCAAAAGAAGGGCACTCATAGGGATTCTTAGTGAAATAATTTGCTACATAACTAACTGATTTAGGTAATTTTGACGCGCTTCGTTTTGATTTTATTTCTGTTTTGCATTAACAGAAGCGTCTTTAAGAATACAAAAAAGCTGCTCAAAACCGCGTTTTTTTGTTCAAGACTACGTTTATTCACATATTCCTTTGTTTGGGTATAATACTTAGGGTAATCATATTTGTAGACTGCATGGTAACCTATACTACCAGCAATAACGTACTGGTGACGTAGCCAGTCACGATTGTACATCGAGCAACCTCATTCCGAATAGGAAAGGCCCGGAGATCGACCATTTTGAATAAACATAATTTGT